CCTCCGTCGCAACCTCCGTGTCCTTCTCCATCTCCTCCAAGCGTCGCGCCAGCGGCGCCAGCTCCCCGTACCTCGCCAGCCCAAAGCCCAGGGGCCCTCCGGGCACCAGGTCAGAGCGAGACGACATGGAGAAGCCGTAGCTGTAGATGGAAAAGAAAAAAACATGCACCACTTTCAATCCATGGTTGACACCATAAGGTGTGTTGGTATTTGCAGGGGAATCGAATCATTCCGGTCCTTGGTGGTGTAGGATTTCGGCCATCCACAGTAGGGAGGAACAAGAAAAGCATGGTGCCTCATAGGTGTCCTTTTGGGAAATAAAATAGATGTTCCTGGTATATGCAATAAAACCAACCTGAACCAGGGTCATCGATCTTTGAGCACACTCAGCTAAACGGACACCTATGATGGTGCTTCAAAGGGCTTCCAGAAAATAACCAGAAAAGCGTCGTGCAACCAAACATCGCGCAAGGAGTAAGGGAGTATCTGTCAGAACCTCCCAAACAACCTGCCCGACTGCCCGATCCAAACCATTTGGTGTGGACCCTCAGTTGAGAACGGGCAGACCCCCCGAAAGGTGGCCCGGAGCGAGAGACAGAGAGACAGAGAGAGAGAAGGGGGGAGGGAGAGAGAGAGAGAGAGAGAGAGAGAGAGAGAGAGAGAGAGAGAGAGAGAGAGAGAGTTGCAGGCACTTTTGAAGGAGCTTCCTCCACTCACACGTTGAAGGGCCCGTAAGCCAGCGGACGCGCACCAATCCCAGCTCACCCTTTGGTTTTAGGTTTTGCCGGCGAGAGGGCTCCCCGTTTTCCCCTTTAAACATCACCCCAAAAGAGACTCCCTTCTGAAACCCAAGGAAAAATGTCGCAGACCCCCTGACCCTCCAATCAAGAACCCCGACCAATTCCTCAAAAACCCTCGACATCCCATTTGGAGGACAATCAAAAACCAGGGACTCCTGACCCTTACAGAGTGGCCACTCGACCCTTCTTCTTCCTCGCCTCGACTCGACGTGAGCTCTCTGCTCGCTCTGGGCTGCCGCGCTTGATCTGCCCGGCCCGCTCCAGGTTGTAGGTCCTCTCCGCCTCCGCGAGCTCCCGCTCCAGGCCCTCGATCCGCTGCCTACAGAAAAAAAAGCACGCGCCCGGCGGGTGCGTCGCTTCGGGGACCAGACGAGGAACCATGGAACCAAGTTGGTTGGTCTGTGCTTCTTTGTTCTTCCCCTTACTTTTCCGGCCAAAAGGGTGGTTGCTCCACCCAAGAATGGTTGTGTTTTCAGATGCTGCTTTTCGGAACTCAAAAATGGTGGTTGCCCCCAAGTGGGCTTCGGGTTCCCTTGATTTCCCATTCAAACCACCTCAAAGAGCAGGTCCTGAGCCTTCAAAGATTGGTTCGCTCCTTCCCTGTGCCAGCTACTTTCAAGCAGAATAACCTTAGGACACATATGGTTTTGGTCAGAAAGAGAGGGGAGACCTCCACTTTGTGTTCTAAGCGTTTTGAGACCTCTGAGAGGTGAGTGGCATCATCGTACAAGAGAAGTCGGCTGTCTCCCCTGGCTCCCCAAACATTCATCGTCCATGGGAACTCGTGGGCGCACCCAAGGAAAGCGGCCGGCCGCTTTGGATTGCCTTCGGTTTTAAAACTTGTCAGGTTCCCGGCCCTCCCTACCCCTCAAGCAAAAAACGCTCGAGAAAAATACAGATAAAATTGGAAATATCTATATATATATATATACATATACATACACGAGAAAATGAAAGAAGAAAAGAAAGGAGAGAAGAAAGGAGAGAAAAGGGGGGGAAAACAAAAGAAAAAAAACGCCGTGCCTTACATCCTGCACCGCCGAGAGGGCTTTGCGCTCCTGGCCGGGCAAAGCGCCTCTTTGATTTTGCTGGCAGAGGATGCGAGCCAAGATCACCTGGGAAGGGTGGAGCTGTGAATCTATAAAACACACCTCTCATGAGTGAGCAATGAAAATTACACCTGTTTCTTGAGGAGGGCAGCATTCATTTTGGCCAGTTGGACCTAACTTTAGCTGACGCCCGCAAATGCCTTGGAGCGGCTCGCAAATCTGAAACGCAATGAAACTATGGATATCCCAGTCGCACAAAAGCTCGCAGTGCCATTGCACTCAGCCTGAGGACAACGGAAAGAGTCTACCTAGGACTTCCTCCCACTGGAGTGATCGCCTGATCAGGTGTAGGATGTCCAAACTCCCCTGCACACGCACACAAACAAACAAACAAACAAACAAATTCAAGCAGACAAACAAATTCAAGCACACATTCCCTCACTGCAAAGGACTCGGGTAGTCATCCTTTGAGGCTCCGATACCTCTTGCCCGTCCTTCTGCCACTTTGCCTCAGCCTCCTTTTGCTGCTCCTTCAGCCTCCGGTGATATCAATTGCCACGGCAAAATCTGAAAAACTTCTTGCCATTGGAACAAAAACACACACACACACACACACACACACACGAAATTTGCACCACAGTACACTCTCTGTGTGTTTGATACACCAATCCCTACTGCTGCGAGCCGGATTCTTGTCCATCCTCCACAAGTTCCGCGTGATCATTGTACTCAAAGTTCGTTTGGAGAAATCCCCACCTCTGCATGAACCAAAGCCTAGACCAATTAGATAAATGAAGCCCAAAGGGATACACCACCGAATTCGATGACTGGATTTGGTCTATCCTTGCCCAAGCTGCGAACTCAGTTCCGCGTTGAGCTCCTTGAGCCTCTGCTGACTCTGGCCATCCTTCTCTTCACCTCAGCTCGCTCTCAGCCAGCCAGGCTTTGCGAGCGGTGCGGCTTTGATAGGGAAGCTGGGAATGCGGAGTCCATGGGTCACCTGAAAAGGAAACCACAAGAGTGGCTTATGAGGATCATTCCCTCGTTTGCCTATCGCACCAGAAAGAAAAACATGGTTCAGTGTTCCTTTCGGTGTTCCAAGACACGGCCATGTGTCTTGCGAGTGAATTATGAGCAGGGGTACATCTCTGCATACTATACTTCACCCTACGTTGCCCTGGAACTGACCAGGAGCTTCCTGGAAGAGTAAAATGGTACAGGAGCCTCCAGTCAGGTTCCATGTTACTTGGGAGGGTATACTTCACTGGACAGCAATACTGTTCCAGGACCTTCATGAGCTCCTTCCAATTTCTCTAAGGCCATCCCCAGGAGAACCTTCAACTGCGGCAATCAAACGATCTGCTTTGGCACTCACCTCGGGTTTCGTCAGGAAATGGAACCCTGAATCAAAAGCAGAGAGCGCAGCGACATCTGGTGACAAGGACGACCTTTGCAAGTTCAAGCCTTGCAGGTGTCAGGCCAGCCGGATGCTTTGGCCCACTGAGATTTGGAATTCCTGAAGGAACACCAAATGCTTAAAGAGCCCCCAGAAGAAAAGGTGTAAAAAGGCAACCCTCCTCACTAATGACAAAGATGTGTTGTTGAAAGCGGCCCTTTGCATTGCAGGGATGCTTTCCACCCCCCAAGCCCTAAACAAAGAACTCCTAAACCAAGCCCCCCCAAACAAATGCCCCCCAAACACATGCGGGCCCCTTCCCCCCCCCGAGGAAAAAAAACAAAAAGCCCCCCAAACCAAAAGGCGCGGCGCCGATGCTGACGCGCTCCATCTCCAGCTGCAGCACGCGGCGGTCCACTTTCTCCAGCTCCGGCGGTTTGGAGGTCACCTGGCAGCCCGAAAGCCCGAAAGCTGAGGAGAGATTTTCATCGGGGGGTCGCCCACTTTTGACGCCCGGTGGATTCCATGAAGCCCAAACAAGGGGAAGAAAGGCCAATTTTGACAAACGCGAGGAACCGGAAGTTTCAGGCAAGTCAGGAATCTCCTCAAAGGCTTCAAAGGCGTAGCACCAGCACGCCGGGTTTGGTGGGCACGGCACGAGGGCGTCGTGTCCCTGCCAGAAAGCCCAGCATCGTTGCATGTTGACGCAATGCCAAGCATCATGTATGTTGTTTTGGAGGGATGGGGGGAATGCGTGGCGGGGTGGTAACGGTCGATGTTGACGAGATGCAAGGCATCACGTACGTTGTTTGGGGGGGGAGGGGGGGGGGGGGAAGAAAAGCCAGTGACACAGAAACGCTTGCAATCGGTGATCCTCTCAGAAGAAAGACATGGTTCAGCCCTTGGCAACAACTTTTTTGGGTGCGCGTTGGGCAAATGAGCTGTTGTCCCCCGGTTTTGGCCATTTTACGTTCACAAACGCACGACGCCTGAGTGGCGTCCTTCCCTTGTTTTTGTCCCACTTTTCGACAACGCTCGGTGGATTTCATGAAGCCAAAACAAGGGAAGAAAGCCCAATGTCCTGATTTTGTGGCACGTAAATCACCACGTAAAACGCGCTGCTCTTTTGATGGGCACCAGCAAATTTCAGGTCTCATTGAAAGGAATTCCAGCTTGGTGTCTGTGCCTGTTGCAGGCACTGTTCACCTCGCTAATAAGATTAAAAAGTGATGAATAGACTGATGCAAAGAGACTGCAATTCCAGATATGTCTACAGCCTGGTCTTTGTTTCTTGCATCTCGTATCTCGGTCTATCCTCATCCCTCACTCCCTTTAACCGCTACAGCATAGAAGAGTGGAAGTGAGGAGGGATATGAGATGGAAAAATGTGTTTTTTATATGAGATGGAAAAATGTCCGTTCCCTTCTAAGCCTCTCTTTGCCAAGGCAAGAGGGAATGGGATGACATCAGAAAAAATGTGATGCACTGTTGGACTCTTTTCCCTCCCAAGCCAACTCTATTCCATCCCAAACAGATTGATAATTCGTAATACCACGATACAAAGAGGAGAATGGCGCGACATCAAAAAAAAGCACCTGGCCTCCGTAAATGCAATACACCTGTGAAACCTGGGGTAACCACACTGTTTTTAGTGTGCGAATATAAGGGTCGTGGTGGCATCCGACACCTGGAAAAAGCTCTTGCGCGAGAGATCACGAACAGGGGCCAATCTGAAAAACACCAAAAAGAACGAGGGAAACGGCAAAAAAAAACAAGAAAGCAATCCCCCCAAACAAAAGGTATTAGGCATGACCAAAACATGTCCCTCAGCACGTTCTTTTGTTTCTTTGTCGTTTTAGCTGTGTTGTTGTTTTTTTGGGGGGTGTTGTTTGGCTTTTGCAAATGGGAGGCGAGGCCTTGCGGGGTTGCTAAAAACAGGCATACGAGGAAGTGTTTTGCTCGGTTTCGCAAGTGTGATGTTTTTTTTGTTGACTCAACCGCACTTCCGGGAAGCCCCCAAAAAGTGTTTGCCCCACTCGGAGCATTGGAATTTCTGAAGAAGAAGAAGAAGAAAAAAAAAATCGGGGTGCCGAAACTCGAAGTTCCGCAGCCCCCATCTCGGTTGCTTTCTGCTCCCCTGCTAAAAGTGACTAAATCTTAGTGGCTTTAATTTGGAAAACCCTTTAGTGGTTTAATGGAAAACCCATTTGTCGGCAAAAAGTTACTCAGTCCTAGCCTCCCTTGGCAAAATGCGCCAAAGCCATCGCCTGCATCTTCACCATGGCGGAGGCTTCGTCCACGAGGTCGATGGCCTTGTCCGGCAGGAAGCGGTCCGTGATGTACCTGTCTCAAGGCCCGAGGTTCCCGCAGATTCCGTGAGTTCCTTGGGTGGCAAACGCGGACATATGGCCACGGGTCAAACCGTACCCCCAGTGAACATCCCAATCAGATCACCATAAAATCCGCCGACCCCATGCCTGGTCCAGAATGGACCATGCTTTCGGCATGGGGGCGGTGTGTTCTGTGTTGCTTTTGTTGATATGCGTTCTATAAGTTTAATGTGAATATGATTATGTATATATATATATATGTCCCTTGGGGCGGCTCTTGGGGAGGGGGGGGGGGGGGGGGGTGGGGAGGGGGGGGAGGGGGGGCGGGGGGGGAGGCGGGGGGGAGGGGGGGGTGGGAGGGGGGGGGGGAGGGCGGGGGGGAGGGGGGGGGGGTGGGGGGAGGGGAGAGGGGGGGGGGAGGGGGGAGGGGAGAGGGGGGGGGGAAATCTAGAGATCCAGAGATCCAGAGATTCAGAGATCCAGAAATCCAGAAATCCAGAAATCCGGCCGACGTAGAAACCAGCCCCCCCCCCTTCCTTCCGTTGTCTCCGTGGTCTTCGGGCAGGGGGGTCTTCGCAGACACGAAGACAGACGCAAATACGTAGACAGTCACAGGCGGAGGGGTGGGGGAAGACTACCCAAAGCCTAAGGGAGGAAGCCCGAGCCTAAGGGAGGAAGCCCGAAAGCACAGGACACGAGATTGAGTCCTAACGCGCGTTGTTTGGTCCCGAAACATTATCGGAAGACTAGGAGAAGAAGACTACGGAAGATCCGCGAACGGGTCTGCGCACGCGTGCTTTCTCTCGTCCCGGGCCGAAATTCTAAGGTGTGTGGGGGCGGCGGAACCAGGCCGCAGACCATTAAATAGGCAGATCAGACAGACTGGGCCAAGCAACTGTTTAGTGGGCTGCCCTCAGATCCCCCACTAAAACAAAAACCTGTTTGATGGCAAAAGATTGCAGTTGAGCTTGTTTCTCCTGGAGCTGGAAAGGGAGTGGTTGAAGGTTCCAAGGAAATGCCGAAAGGAGCCCCAAAGAACCCAAAAAAGAACCTAAGGAACCCTAAAAAACCCGAAAGGGCCCCTCAAGTACCCACCCCAAAGACCGGAAGGCCGCCTGCCTGCTGCTGAGCACCGCCGCAGCCACCAGCGCGCGGTCCGAGATCCGGACTCCGTGGTGCAGCTCGTACCGGGCCTCCGGTTGCCCGCGGTGTTTCCTGTTTCCCTCGGAAGGTGAGTCACTTGCTCAAAACCCGGTATTAAAATGGTTGACCCAGAGCCATGTCAGGAAATACGGCTGGGCGGATATCCGCAACTGTTTATGACTGGGATTGTCCCTTACTAACCTTCATCTACCCAGGTTTTGAAGGTGGCTCAGGTGGAAAAACCCACGAGAAAAATTGGTGTACGGCGGCTTCGGCTGAATCAAGCGGCTTGGGAAACTTGGGGGTTGTCAAAGGTCATCGATGGTTTTTTTGACAAGAAATCGGTGTACCGCGGCTTTGGCGGCAGAGAACCAAGAGGCTTGGGAAACTTGGGGATTTTCAAACTGTCTTCGATGGTTTTGTTGTTGGGGAAAGGGGTTTAAAATGAGACGATGTGGTCAAGTATAATTCACAAATTATGGAAAGTTGGAGGAATAGAACATCTTGACTGGGTTCCCTTTTAAGCCCTGATTCAGAAAGAAGAAAGCGGTCAATGCTTGTTGCTCACAAGACTTGGGGGGAGAAGGGTTTTGAAGTCGCTTGAGGGTGGGGCTTTGAATGTTTTGAGGCTGAGGATTTCGGGGAATGGACTTGAGGCTTTGAGAACCCCACAGATTCCTTAACCATCGATAGAGCATGGACCCGAAGCTGACCGCGTCTTTCCAACCCCCAAAGTGGTTTTGACCTCCGTGTTTCCAACTAAACCACAAGGAATGGTTGCGGCACCTTTTGCTGAGAATCCCTCGAGCGGGGTGAAACCTGGGGATTTGTTCAGGGAATCAAGAGGATTTTGTGGGCATGAACCAAATTCATTCAAAGGAAACCAACAGGACCCCACAAAAGTGGTTTGAAGGTTGAGGGACAAAGGACAAAGGACCCTTTTGTGGGTGAAGAACCGATTTCTTCCAACCTCAAACTTCACCCCACGAAAGAAACTGAAATACGCTTGCGTTTTGTTGGGTCACCACCCCAAAAAAACCGGGTGTTATGCTTGAAGGAACTCCGTTTCTTGGCTGCCGTTGACCCCTCCGCACAAGGTTGTTCACTTTCTGTGGGCCCTGCTCTGGGGGCCGTCCACAAAGCTGAAACTCAAGAATCCTAAAGTCCAAGAAACCTCCGCGACGAGATCGCCACAAAGAGTAAGTCTACCTCTGTTGCATGGTTTTACAGGGAAACACAAAGGACCAAGGGACGTCTGGCTCCAATGCCCCTGCTTGTTAATATAGGCATAAAGTAGACGTAAAGATGTTGTCCGGTGCAGCACCATGCCTTGTTTTTTACAGGCCGGCGCCGCGTCTCTTTTTTTTAATGCCCACGGCGCCGCGGGCACGCGCACCTGCAGACACGTCCGAAAGAAAAGAAAAGGAGAAAGAAAAACAAAATGAAAAAAACACGAGGCGAGCGGCGCCGCGCCTTGAGGCCCCGCAGCACGCTCAAGGTATCCGCCTCCGTGGGTTCCGCCACCTGAAGGCAAGCCCCCAGAGCCGAAGCTCCCTGAGTCGCTGGTCCAACTTGGGCTGAGGTCTTTGTTTTTCCAAATTTAACCAGTGAGAGCTGGTTAAAACTGAAGAGGGCGTGTGCAGGTTGAAAGTGATGCAAGGTGAGTCACCAAGATGAGGTGAACCTGTTCCCCCGCAATATCAAGAACATCCAAAGCCCTCCAAAACCCTCCAAGGCCTTCTTCCCTCGAGATATCCACACACGGATTGAAATTGCTCAAATCTGGGCCACCCTCCCACCGAGCGCAACACCCTAGCTTGAAAAAAGCCGCCAGCATCGCTGGCACGGCTTCGTGGCAAAAGCTTCTGGCAACTGGAGGGTTGACTCTCACAAGGACGCAAGCCTCTCAGACCTATCCTGAGAACAAAGCCTTCTCGTGCGGGGCTCCCACTTTCCGGGGGTCATGAGTCACCCATTTTACTTAAGACAACTCAAAAGATATGAGCAAAAGGGCCATGGCCAGCGGAAAAATCGCGCAAACGAACACACGAGAGCTCGGGCTCTCTTAGCCATTCCCGAAGCATCTGTGACCAACAGCAGGCCAAAGGCATCTTGGGCTCCGGTTGGTCCTTCAACTCTGAGCTTTTGATGGCGCCTGTTTCAAGGGAAATCAATATTATTATTCTTTTTTGGAGGGGGGCAATTTGCGGAACGTCCGCATATGTCCCCGCTTGGTGGATTTGTGTGGCGCGACCCCAACCTATTGCTTGACCTGCTATAAAGAGCGGCGCTGAAGGAAGCACCTCTTCTGGGATGGGTCTAAGGGAAAGCAAAGGCGAAAGGGGCTGCATGACACCTTTCTTTCGAGGAAAAACATCGAACGCCCAGATGACAAAACCACCCGTCAACTGCTGGAAGGCAAAACCGTTGAGTTGGGGAACCCACCTCCCAAAAAAAAAGCCCGGGATTAGCAGGATGTCATGCATCACCTGAGCCTTTCTTGAGGGTACCTCCCCATTTAGCCTTAAGGGGAAAAAAGGCACAAACACGTCCATTCCAGCTCGTGCCCCCAACAAACAGGCCAAACCTAAAAGTCAAAGCACTGAGAAACATACTAAAAATCAAAGCACTGAGAAAGCACTTAGGAGGAAAAAACAAAAACTCCCCACCCCAGCCACCCCCACCCCAACCACCCAACCACAACCACCACCCAACCACAACCACCCCCAACCACCTCCCGTCCATTTCGCAACAAAATCCCATCCCGAGGCGCCAACACCTGCTGGAAGCGCCGCTCCAGGGCCGCGTCCTTCTCGATGTGCTGCCGGTACTCGTCCAACGTGGTGGCGCCCACACACCGCAGGTCCCCCCGCGCCAGCATGGGCTTCAGGATGTTCCCTAAAAGCGGAAGGGATAGAGAGAAGTGGGAAATGGAAGGAATGACATCTCTTATCCACTTCTTTCTCAAAACAGATGTGTGGCTTTGTTCGTTTGGAGATCTGCTGGTTTGTGGTCAGGGGAAATCCCGCTTCTTGGGTTTGGGATGAAACAAAAATTGAACCCCGAGAAGAGGACATGTGGCTCGGTTTCGTTTGGGAACATCTCCAAATTCGTCTTTGGTTTCGGTCAGAAATGGTTGGGACAGTGGAGAGAGTCTTTTTGCCACGTGAAGCAGGGCCTTTCCCTCCTTTTCCTGCTGGAGTTGAAAGAGAACGCCACCCAATAAGACATGTCACATGAACCGACAATACCTTCTTAAGCAATGCGCAAGTTGCCTCACAGCTGATTTGCCAGACTCACTTCCCAATCCTCTGAGAGTTTCGAGCAAAGACCGCACGCCTCTAACAACCACTCCATGGACGGGGAGAGGACAAACGCAGGAAAGAACGTAAAGCAAGAACTGCACCAAATCCACACATCCACCCACTCACCTAACTCCTTTTGCTCCATCTGCCCTTTTAATACATCTTCTTGCGTTCCCGCTTTTTCCTCAGTTTCTTGGGGAACATCCTGAAACCCTACATGCTGCAAGCAGAGGCACAGTCCGGGCTGCCTTAAAGTGTGCAATCATGTGGATTATTTGCACCGTAATTGGAAGGAGGTGTGCCGCAAAACATGCATCAGTTTGTGCGTGAGTCTGGTTGGAATGTACAACATGCGCAATAAGCAGGAGATGCTGAGATACACCATGCGGGGAGGCATTCGAATGCATGACAATCTCTGACAGTTAAAGTCTGGCACAAGTCAACATTCTTTCCCTGGCTCCAAGCAGCGCACTGGGCATGGTATTCAAGCTGGAGCCCGACTCACACAATCTGAGCTAGAGCAAAAATCCGCAGGCCTACATGCAACCAAATGACCTGACTTGTCTCCAACCGTAGGAGAGGTTTGCTTGGAGACCAAATTCAATGAAAAGATATGTGCACGCAACAAAGGTTGCATTTCTTTCAAACTATTCAATGCACGATCTGAAAAACAAAAACAAAAAAAGCACTTCAGAACCAGGTATTTAGCCTACAAACTCTGTTCATGAGACTGTGGATGGACAAAATCCTACAACACCCACAAAACCCTGGAATGATGATTCCCCTGTAAATACTAGCAAACAATGGTTTCCCATGGTTTCAAAGTGGTGCGAAATGGATTTCGTCCATCCACAGTAGTATCCTCAAAATGACAACTTGTAAAATCGGGTGGATTGAAAGGAACCCCGAAAAGTCAGCGGAAGGGCCTTCGCGTGCGGAGCGATCGGGGTCCAAAAAAGTTCCGGGGTCCGGGTTCCAAGTCCCAGTGGCCGTTGGAATTTTGGGCTTACTAGCTCCGTTCCCAAATCCCTTGCTACAAGTCTGACCCTTTAGCAAAAACTACCACTAAACCCTAGAGATCCGTACCACTAAACCCTACAAATCCGAAGATCTAAGGGTGAAGCTAACAAACCCATGTGTGTGAATATCAAAATTGGTCTCTGGACTGCTTTGGTTTCCCTCTGACCCCTGCGCATGTCCGTTTTCTCGGCTCAAAGCTTGAGGCCCAGGTTAAACTCGAGAACCGACCGCTAAACCAACGAAAAACGAACCTGAAAAAAAATACCCAGATGGCTGGTTGAACCACCATGTTCGATTGTTCTCTGCGAAAACCGGGCACCCCAAAGCCAAAACAGAAAGAAACAAAAAAATGGAAACATAACAAAAAACGGCCCGGCAAATCCGACGTCCAGAGCGAGGCGCCCGCATCCATGGCGCCGCCGGAGGCGCCAGCACCCACCTCGGGGCTAGGCTCTTCACAACCCTCGGATGTGGGCTTGCCGGGAAAAAGAAAAAAACTTTTGGCTGTAGGTCAAAAATCGGCTAACCCCAAAACAGGTTGCCCGGGTAAATGGAACCCAGGATTTTTTCACCTGCGGTCCCCCAGTGCTTTAATTTTGACCCATACGCAATTGGCTGTGGCTTTTGGCCGATCCACGCAGGAAGTGATGAAGGGAAACCAAAGGGAACAACAAGTTTAATGGCGATGGCTCAAAACATACCAACATGGCACCTGGGAAAGTGGAACCAACTAAAATCCGCGTAACCCTGGCTCTTGAATTTTGAGCCACACCCATTTTTGGCAGCCCCCATTTAAAAAATGAGCAGAACGAGGAGCCCGCGTTGGGGTGCGCTTTACAAGGAAACGAGAGCACCTCAGATCTTTTCCCCAAAGCAACACATAGTCAAACCCGGCAAGCCAGGCTGCAATGAGGTGCATCTCATCGATGAAGGTGATCACCTCCGCGTCTGCGTCTCTAAAAAGAATCTCCCTTCCGTTTCCACAGGCCCGGCTTGGATCCGCCCCCCTCCCCGTTGCTCGCGCCTCAAAAAAAAAACGGCACAAAAAGCGGCCGAGAAAAAAAAAAAAAGGCAAACCAAGGGCCGGTGGCCAAAAGCGCGCCCTGAAAACCAACGACCACCACCCCCGCAAAAAACGAAAAATCACCAACGACCCGACGCGCCTTGCCCACAAACTTCGGCCCCCCTGCCCCCCCCCTCCCCCCACCCCAAAAACAGAACCCCGAAGCCCACTCACCCGCGCCCCCCCCCCCCCCCCCGACCCTCCACCCTTCGCACCCAAAGCGCACCCTGAAAACCAACGCACCACCCCGGCCAAAACCGAAAAAAACGACAAAAACGGACCCCCGAAACCCCCGCGCCTTGCCCACAAACTGTGCTCCCCTCCCCTCCCCCTCCCCTCGCGCCAACCCCAAACCCCCCCCCCCCCCCCGCCTTGCCCTCGGAGTCCTTGATCTCCTTCAGCACCGCCTTCAGCCGCTCCTCAAACTCCCCGCGGTACTTGGCGCCCGCCACCATGGCGCCCATGTCCAGGGAGATCACCTCCCGCTCCAAGGGGTTCATCTACATCTGAGACCCCAGGGCTTTTGGGTCACAAAAAGGCAACCCAAAAGAAGACGCCCAGTTTGTGTGTGTGTGTGTGTGTCGGGGGGGCCATTCTGAGCCAAAGCCAAGTACATTGGAAAGTCGTGTGTTGGGCGCAACGGGGGTAAGCACGAGACAAAAAGATTGGTTCATCCCTTGGGGGCGCTGGCGCAACCACCAGGGGCTTTAAGAACACTGAAAAAAACATCGCCACAAGTCAGGAGCTTGGTGTTGCGAGTTGTTCGGCCGCATGTCAACGCCCCCGGAGGTTCAATATGTTGTCAACTCTTGCTTTGACAGAGCTGCAAGTTTGGATTGGGTTTCTTGAAAGGGCGGACCGCCTGAAAAGAAACCTTAGGGGGCCCGATTTTGACACATACTCATTAGTCTTAAACAGCAGCTCGCCGGACGTCCCCTTTTTTGCTCATAGAGGAGAAACACAAGTCACCACTACTCCACAGCTGCCTGCAGCATAGGGCCTGCAAGTAGACAAAGTATACCACAACAAACTTGGAGAAGATATCGAACCTTGGTGCTGAATGTCTTTATCACATGGTTTAGGCATGTCCAGGCAGCATGTCTGCGAGCATGAAAGTGACCGGACTCATCCCTGAGCAAGTTGCGGAGGAGTCGGCTCAGGTCTGTTAAGATATCAAAAGCTTCACCAATCCGTTGCTCGATTGCCTTTGACAACTCCGCTGATCAATCTGACGCAGGGGTGTTGGCTCTGTTTTGAACATACTTGAAGAGCCGAATCGGTCGAAAGAAGGGTGAGGCCATGCGTGCAGCAACCCGAAGGGGCGGGCAAGTGGGATTCTTGTTGAATTCTATTCAACGCCGCCTTGGGTCAAAAATGTGATGGTTCAAAGCCAAAACACAACTATGGAGTTGCTTTCTTTGAGAGCAAACTTTTCACCCTCCAAGGCAAACCAAAAAAACTTCCTTGTCCACCCTTTCGGTTTTTTGGGGTCCCCCATCTTTGTTTTTCGACTCCACGAGTCGCCACCTCGCGCGGCCGCGCGCCTGCTTGTCCTTCAGGGCCTCCGGCACGTCCCCGTCCACGATGCGCCGCGCCAGGCCCTCCACGATGGCGGTCTTGCCCACCCCGGGCTCACCGATGATCACCTCGCGGTCAGTCGGTTTGGGGGGTACCCTAGGTGAGAAAGCTGGCTTTTTGTTGATAGCCAATAATAGGGGTACCCCATAAATAGGGGTACCCTATAAAATAGGGGTACCCTATAAAAAGGGGTATGCTATGTGATAAAGCTGCTTTTTGTATGATAGCCAAGATGTGCCAAGGGGGTACCCCCGAAAATATGTGGCTTCTCTTTTGGTGGACTTGTTCAAGCAAGCTAAACAGGGCAGCCTTCACTTCGCGCACGCTGTTTTCGCACAGCAAACAATGGGAGTGTTTTTGAAAGCCAAAGAAAAGGGAAACCCACCATTTTGAGGACCAAACAATGAAAGACAAACCCACCTCACCAATGTCTTTTTCGTTTTGCGCGCTTTGGAAGTGAATGACCAAAGCCTGCATATGGAAAAACATGTGTTGAAGAAACAAATGAAGCCGACCCACGTGTTGTTGGCAAAAAAGAAAATGCGATACACATACTGTATGTTTCAAAGAAAATAAGACTTATACATATACCGTCTTCTGGGTCGGTTCCATATAGACATACCGTCTTTTTGGGCAAAAAAAAACACGCAGCACCCCACCCCACCCCCCCACCCACCCTCTCTCTCTGCCCCCCAAAGGGCCGGGTGATCGATCCGAGGCGCCGGGTTGTTCTTGGAGCGGCGCGCCAAGATCTGCACCACCCGGCGGATCTCCTCCCGACGATTCCGTCGCCGGAAGTTCGCGCTGGGCGAAGATCTATGGCTTCCAGGAAGCCATCTGAAAAAACAAAAAGAGGACAAAGCAAACACCAGGAACCTTTTATTTTATTCATTTCAGGATTAAAAAGAAAGAGATCTGGTGGTTGGAAAAGTTGAAAAGAAGCATGGTTGCAAAGAATGGTTGGAATCAACCCTTAGAGTCATGATCATGGGCAAGAGAAAAGCTCCAAGGACCACTTTTGGCCCTGAACTTTCTGGTCAAACCTAGAGCAGCGCTCTAACCCCATTTGTTTCTACCTTTAGGACATGAATACAGGTTCATAAAGGCCCTACTATAACCTCCATGAACTCCGCATAGATCAAAAAAGTGTCTAGAGGTTCTGCAGGGATCCTTTCATTATACACCTGAACATTACAACTTGTAAATGGTGGTTTCCCTTTGTTTGGGTGGAACAAGCCTGCCATGTTTCAACTGGTTGCAAAATGTATCGATCTTTTAAGGCGCCCGGTGCGCAGAATTCGATGCGCCTGGAGCTCAAGCCTCAAGCCCTGAACCCCCAGGCTACCCGTGACCCGGAGTCGCTTCGAAGCGGCGGTTCCCGGGAGGCGGGCCTTTTACTCTAGGCTGGAAGTACCCCGGCAAAAGAAACACCTTTTTTGTGCCTGCGTAGTGGGAAGTGCTGAAACGCCGAGTCAAGTGGCCAGCTTCCCACGCCAAGAGCTCCAATGTGTACGGATCAAAATCTCCCAGACCTCCGGCCTCATCTCGGCCGATGACGGGGTCCAGCTTGCCCTCCCGCGCCAGCGCAGTGAGATCCGAGCCGTAGGTGGCGAGCGCCTTGCGACTGCCCAGTGCTCGTGAGTCACAAGTGCCCACGAAGTCCAAAAAAAACGCGGGTTTCTTTGTGTGTGTTCCCCCTGTGCACCCACCAAAAAAGGGTACCCTCACAAAGGACACGCACCTGGATTTGTTTGCTGCTTTGGGCTTTCTGCCTTTTGTGGTTTTGGGGGGAAGGGTCTCCGAATCATCTCCCCTTAAAGGGGGGCCTCCAAAAGTGGCTTCCTCGTCTCCAGGGGCAAACTGATCAACTGGTCTGGGGAAATCCAGGCACCTTGGCCAACAAATGGAACAGACCCAAACCCTGCGGTTTGCCCTTGCTCTTGAAAACTTTTTTGAGCTGCCACAGCCACCCAACCCACACCCACAACCACAACCACACACCCTGAGCTCTTGCCTCATAGCTGGACTCGGCGTTCTGAGAGGTCACCTTTCCCGTGCCCCTCACCTCAGATTCCACTGAGTCACTGGGCAACAGGGTGAGAGTGTGCGCGGCAAGCGCGAGCGCGCTTGCGCGTGCTGCACGCACGGCGTCACGTTCCAAATTTCGCCCGTTCCTTGATGGCGTCCCAAAGAAAATGAAAGCGATAGGTCCTGCTGCTCACTTCTCCTGCTGCTCACTTCTTGCTCACTCCTTGATAGGTCCTTGATAGCATCCCTAGGAAACTGAAAGCGATAGGTCCTGCTGCTCACCTTTTGCCAAGGAAGCCAACTGGAAGTGATCCACTTCGAATTTCGGCACTTGAGCTCCAAAGTGGTGCCGCGTGTTTTGAGGCTTCAACCACGCATCTCCTGGTCAACCCCTCTGTGCCGATTGACAACCAAAAGGGTTCGTAAGGGAACCATGACCGTTAGTAAGGGAACCCCACCGAATTTTCAGGATCGGGACCTCTATAAAATTGCACTTACTGTTGTCTGCCTTTTCTGGAACGTACAACTGTTTGGTGGCTCTTAAAAGGGGAAACCTGGAGCAAGAACGGGTCCACATCCCAAAAAGACACCAGAGAAACCTTCCCTCGCACATTCCTGCCGAAGCCGCGGAGTCGATGGCTTCTTTTAGCTTCTCCTGGTTGAGACCCACCTCCGAGAGCCTCAGAAACCCCGGGCTTCGGCTTCGGATTTCGCCGCGGACCCAGTGGAAAGGTCTCCGCGCGGCCAGCGTCGGAAGTGGCTTCTCGCATCCCCAGTTGCTCCGCCAAGGTGGGTTATACAAAGAAAAGAAGAAGAAGAAGAAGAAGAAAAAAAGAAGAAAAAAAAACGCGAGCCTGAAGTTCATCCCCCGAAGTCGATTCAACAATGGACAATCCCGCGAAGGTGGCCTTGTCAACCAGGGAGATGGACTTCTTCCTAAGGGCGGTGATTCAAAGCGCGGAGGACCTGAAATGGTCACCGACTTCCAAGCAGCCGCCTGGAAACGCAACTCCTTGCAAACGGCCACATGGTACATGACAAGTCAACCCTTGTTCCCTACAGCCAAGGAACAAGCCAAGGTCCAAAGATGTCGCTACGCCTTCAAATTCTCAAAGCCTGGCCTTCAAATTGTCAAAGGTTCCATGTCTCAACCTCTTCCCCAGGCCCCAGGGACAACAGAAAGGAGAAGCCCATGGCTGGGACAAGTGCATCGCGTCTCCTTTGCTGTTAGATCCCCTGCGAAAAGTCCTTGGCGTTTCGTGGTGTGACATCTACACCAAATCCTAAAAGCCTACTATATAAGGGGATGGCTGGAACCACCAAGTCTCAACTCATGTGTGCCTCTAATGTTAGGTTTGGAGGCATCAATCTAGTGCGGATGGACAAACCCCTACACCTCTTCGTAGGTTTTTAGGTGGTGAATCCCAGCATTCGTGCGGCTACAGGATCTCGCTCACGGTGCCACAACGACACGGTAGCTGGACAAACTCATGCCTCGCGGTGTCTACGTTCTCCGAAGCTAACAGACAGAAGACAACCCTGAAATATAAAAGTAAATAAAACAGTACGTAAAAAAAAAAAAAAAAAAAAAAAAAAAAAAAAAAATGTTTGTGTAAATACATACAAAACAAGTACATGTACAAATATATGCATGAATAAATATGTGTATATATATATATAGGAATAAATAAAGAAGAAAAAAAAAACAAACACATAAACAAATAAATGCATACATACATAAATAAGTCAAATAAGTGCATACATACACAAAGGAATAAATAAACACACAAATGGAACAAATTGAAGAAGTTGAACCCTGTTGATCAGTGAGCCACCCTCACAGGCACGGAAAGTGGGCCGGTACTCCGTGGCTCTCGCCCGGAGTCTCGCCCCTTGTTGATTCGGTTTACAAAGACGAATGCTACCTTCCATTTCCGGAAAGGGATCCGAGTCTTTCCGGAAACCACCCAAAACCCCGGGAAGCAGCGATCGGTTTTTTGGAAGGAATCAACCCCTGGACCACAGGGCCCAAGGAGCCCCCAGCAAAAGAATGGCCCAAGGGATGGTTGCCACCTGAAATGCGCAGGTGCCTCCCCTGCGACAGCCAAGAACAGGATAGCTGGGTTGCGAAATCTGCTGCCCTGCTAAAAGTGACGAACTTTTAGTGGTTTGATTCGGAAAACGTCCAAAAGTTGGATCAAAAAGTGATTCAGTCCTAACATCCCTTGGCAAAATGCAACAGAGATAAGAGACACACATAAGAAACATCCAACAAAGAGTCCTACATCCAACAAAGAGTCCTAAATCCAACATCCAGCATAAGAAACACAGACCCCGTTGACGCGAAGAAGGGACGGCACAAGGCCCCGGTTTCGCCCAAGGTGCATCTTCTGGCCGCAGCGCTGGTCGCCGGCGAGGGCGAAGAGGAGGGCGTCCACGGAGATGAACTTGTCGCCCCACCTGAGCAGCGGTTTTAACATGCTGTGGCTCAAAAAACCGGTACCAAAATGGAACCCTGGTAAGTGGAAACATAACCCCTCCTGCGGTAAAATGTTGAGCAACACCCATTTAGGTCAGGAGACTCGTATTTTCAGCGGGTTCTCGTCCCTTGCACCAAAGCAATCATGTGTGTAGCATCCTGAAACTCATTTGATAGAACACATATAGGGTATGGAGTTACTAGAATTGTGATGTCATTTGCCTAGCCGTCGTTTTGGAAAAATTGGTGGAATCCACCAGTAGCTAAATCCACTAGTGCCCCAGCAGACCGTGTTAGAGCGTAAGGCATCGTGGCGTCTGATCTTGACATTTCTTGAAGATGTCTGTGTGTGTGTATGTGTGTGTCATGACATGCATCATTATCTGTACCACAAGTGCTCTCCGCGCTGTGCCCCTCCCCCCCCCCCCCCCGGCACTGCTGGCCCGGCACGTGCTTTGGGGCAAAACAAGCTCCGGGCAAGCTGCTGACGCAAGGCATACGTGCATGCTCAAACCGGCAGACTTGGGTGCGTGAATTCTTTTTGAGGATACCCGTTTTTTGTGGGTTTAAAAGGAAACCCAAAGGAACACCACCAAGGGAAACTAAAAGGAACACCGCCATTTTGGGGGGACCATCCGAACTGTTCCGGCTCATCCCTCTGCGATAGGTGTCCAATTTAGGGTCGCCCACTCAAAGAGTCCGATCCATAGTTGATGAATGTGGACTCATTCCATGCAGTTCTTGTACCCCAAGCAAATTAAATTCAGCCCGCGGGCTTCCATTTTGAGACTGGGCAAGATCTGAGCACAGAATCGAAATGTGTACATAGGAGTAGATACGCATACAATCAGTTCCCTGTGAGACACACTCCCAAATCATGGATCGACTTGCCTCCCCCGCGCATTCGGGCTCAGCCCAGCGTCTGCTTTGTGATCTTCCCCACTTCTTGCAGCAAGGCAATGAGGCTCCTCGATCCGAATCGAAGGACCAACACAGCCCTGAACGGGCCGCGGGCCTTGTTCAATGGTCCATTGCTTCACACCAGGGGATGTGAGCCTCAAAGAGCCCACGTTCTCTCTTTGCTGGCCATGCGTGCTTGCCCGTGGAAATCTGGTCCAGTGCCAGTGCCCCAGTGCCAACCACGGGTTTTCATGTCAAGAAAGTACGCTGCTCTGCGCATGTGTCGCTTGTGCTAAAAAAACGCACAAGCCAGCCCTGCAATTTGCTAAGTTCACGCCCCCCAGGCCGGCCAAAAACCGGTCCCAAAACCCTCCCAGGCCAACCTACTCCACCCCTAAACGTGTCCCAACCCCTCAACCCCTCCCTCAGCCCCTCCTTCCGGCAGAGTGGTCACTTAGGGATCGCTCAAACGGTTCACTTAGGGATCACGGTCACTTAGGGATACACGCTCACTTAGGGATCACATTCACGGTTCACTTAGGGATCGGGGGGATGATAAGCACACCCGCTCAACTGCTGCAGACCAGCCTGCTCTTTTACCGGATTACAAAATAACATCGTTCTGGGGGGGGGGGTGATATTTCAAGGCTGCAGACCAGCTGCTGCAGACCAGCCTGCTCTACCGGCAGACCAGCCTGCTCTTTTACCGGATTACAAAATAACATGGTTCTGGGGGGGGGCTGGGTGGGGATGATAAGCACACCCGCTCAACTGCTGCAGACCAGCCTGCTCCTTTACCGGATTACAAAGTAAACGGCTCTGCGGGGGGGGGGGGGGGGGCATGATAAGCACACTCGCTCAACTGCTGCAGACCAGCCTGCTCTTTTACCGGATTACAAAATAACATCGTTCTGGGGGGGGGGGTTGGGTGGGGGGCATGATAAGCACACCCGCTCAACTGCTGCAGGCCAGCCTGCTCTTTTTTCCCAGCCTGCACACCCGCTCAACATATGTCATAAGACATACACGTCACATATGTCATGAGACAAGCACCGACAAGCGCATACATGCAAACACATGCGCGCATATAAACATACATCGCGAGGTGACATGTCAACACGCATGCATACGCGACAAGCCTTCTTCAAAACGCGATCCCGGAGCGACCCATGTGCGCGATCCCTAAGCGAACCATTTGCGCGATCCCTAAGCGACCCACTGCCCCTCCTTCCTGCCGCCGTCTGGGAGGGCGTTGATCCGCCGATGACCCGCGGCTGCTTCTCCCCCCATTGCCGGATCCGCTTCTGAAGCTGGGCGCTGTCCACGTTGGCCTTCCGCAGGATCTTGGCCCCGGGGCCCTGGGGGTCCTCCTGGTGGCGCTCGGCCCCGAAACATGTGGGACTCAACGCGGTCCGGGAGGCGAAAAGGGGAGGACAGGCGGCTGGGTTTGCAAAAAGGCCGGACTTGGGGGCAGGTGTTCTTGTGGCATTTGTGGGGGTGTCGTTCTTGTAGGCTCAGTCTTCGTTTGGGGGTTGCTTTACAAGGAACCCAAAGAGAAGCTCAAGACCTGACGCACATGTCATCGAGGCAGCGGCCCAAATGTTGGGCCTGTTTCTCGGGAACTAAAAAAGGCCACCAGCCATTTCAAGGCGTCGATTTTCGCTTCGACGCCTAGGTGTTCATGGCCAGTTTCAACAAGAGGCGCAGGGTAAGCATCACTGCATTCGTCTTTGGGGCGAGCATTTCTTATGAACCGGTTCGATCATCAGACATAGATCTTGGGTGAGGGACTTTGCCCGCCAAAATGGTGGTGCAAAGGGGTTTGAGAACCTTTCAAAATGCAACCTCAAGGGGCCCAGAGATGTTTGTTCTGCCAAAATGGGGGCTCGACTCGGTCCAGCAGCGACAGAAAGATGTGCTCCGTCTCGATGAATTGCGCCTGCAGTTGCCTCAAGGCTTGCCGGATCTCTGGTCCAAGTCTGGCCTTTCTACCGCCAAAACACAACCTCCCCAACACGCCCACCAAGACTCCACGGGGACATCACCCAAACACTACCGCAAGATGTGTGGTGGCCTCTGATATAGGGTTGCGGTGAGTAACCCGGCGTCGCTACATATGATCGCCTGCCTTCTTTCAGTCGGAAGCCGGTTTACGTCACAGTGCTGCTTGGAGACCAAAGACCGGCCCCCTCTCTCAACGAGAATCCTCTGCCCTGCAGCCCTTCCCAGTCTCATGCGTCATCTGCCTCTCTCTTGCTCCTGCCTGGCACACTCGGCCGCGTTCTGCACCACCTTCCAGGTTCAGCTGAGGCTGCTTGCTGGGGTTGGTGCCCTGGTGCCCTTGCTCCCCCCCGACCACCAAGCGCACTTGGACTGGTTGATGAATTGTCCGGGGGGTGGACATCCGCACCTCTTTGCGGCTGGGACTATCCCTTAACCTTCATCCACCCGGATTTTGATTCAGTTGGGTTGCCCATATCCGGGATGGGAAGCTACCCTAACACCTTGCCAATCAGACATGAACTCAACACCCCTGGATTAAACCACGTCATGGCCCTGTAAAAAAACTGACCGTTGTTTGCAGCCCACCAAAAATGAGCAGAACCCATCAAAACCTTTAAAACAGACACCCAAAAACAAACAACGTTGATCTAACCACCGCGAAATCCCAGCCCCTCCCTTTGGCCTTCTTCGCCGAAAAAAAACAAAAAGCGGGTCGTCCAAACCCAGCCCGCAAGGCCGCCTGCCAGGCGTTCTCCGTGTAGAGCTCCGGCCGCAGCGGCAGCTCCGGCGCCGCGCCGTCCGCGTAGCGCCGCGCCGTCGACGCCCGCGCCCGGCCTCGCCTCGCCTGGCGGCGCGGCGGCGAGGCCGCCGCCAGCTTCGGCGGCGGAAAGAAAACCACGAGAATTCGGGTGCTGTAGATCCCCCAGCCAAAAAAAAAGAATGACTTTTTGCAGGTTGAAAGGAAATATGACGGGTATCCCAAAAGTTAAAGTCTAAAGATCCAACCCAACAGCAGTAGAGGGAAACAGAAAAGGAAAGCGAAAGCCGCCCATGTGGCTGTGGTCAAAATAGGTGTTCATCCGCCCCAAAATCATAAGATGTTTCCCATGGCCATGTTTAGGTCGCAGGCAAACCAAAGGGAAACCCAAAGTTGCCCGTGTTGAGGTTGAAGACAAAACGAATGGGAAAACCCAAGGCCATCCACTTACTTGAGCGAGGCGGGAACGAAAGCAAGCAACTGGCACTTTGTGGACGGTGACAGGGGGGAATCCAGCGTGCAATCTTGCCTTTTGTCGAGACGAGCTCTTGCAATTTTAGACCATTTGGGCCAATTGAATTAATTGCACAGGGTGGAAAAAGGACAGGTCGCTATGATATTGAATCACCGTTTGAGGGGATAACCTGAAAAAGTCCAACCTCTCCGGTCCTCTAAGCGACAATGACGGAAACCCGTTTCCAGAGTAATGCTTTGTCCCCAAACGAGTATGTGTCAAAACCAGGGGAGCAACATTGCCCAAGATGTCCGTCGGCTCCTTTCGGCCTCAAAAGGGCGCCAACCCCTCCAAACAAACCCAAAGGTTGCACAGTGGTTGTCATTCTGTCCCACTGCCCACCTGGTGTTTCAAGCCCATCTTAGAACCGGAACCTTTGTGCTGGCTATGAAGCAAGCGAAGGTCGGTTCGAAGGGTTTTTGGAACACGGTCCCACAAGGCCGTTCCAACAAATGACACCAGGTGTGGTGCGTGGACTCATAGCCAGGTGAGTCATAATCAAAACCTGGTGCAAAAATGGTCGACCCAAAGTTATGTAAAGAATCAAGAAGGCGGCAGCAGCTATTCATGGTCGGGATTGTCCCTTACTACCCTCCAATTACCAGGGTTTTGATTGTGGCTCAGGTATGGTTTCTGGAAAAAGGCCCCAGAAGAACCCAGACGAACCTTGGAAACCCTTGTAACCTTCTTCTGTTCCCAGGGTTTCCAAGGTTTCTAAGGAAAAAGGTCCCAGAAGAACCCCCCTCTCGCCTTCATGGCCCCTGCGACGGCCAGCGTTGCGAGGGGCAACGGCCAGGAAGGTGCCTCGACTTGCTGAATTTGGGGCTCGGTTTGTTGGCTGATCAATTCTACCCCACCAAACATGGAACCTGACTCGGGGGGGGCGGAGGGGGGGGGATCTTCCCAGATGTTCCTGTGAAAGGGAACCCATGTGAATTCGGATGTGATTGTCAGCGAGCGATTGCCCCGAGGCCATCAGGCAAAAGGAAAGTCCCTTGGAAAAGTTTGCTTGCGGAAGTTGGTCGGTTTAACCCACTGCGCCCCTCTTGTGGAGTATTCCTTTGTGGGGTTTTTGTTCCAACGCTGGCTCACACAAGAAACATGATATCCAAGACCCAAGAAATGTGTGAAGGCATCCGCAAAGTGCTGCACAGCAGCTACTGAGTGCTGGTTTCAAAACTAGGGGACCCCAACATGGCTTGGTCCCTTGTGGTTTGGCTGGCCCCATGTCTGATCATTGGGAGTAGTGGTGTAACGAGGCAGTTCTCCTCGCCAATGAAAATCTGGAACTGACGTGCACTGGACACCATTTCCATGTGTGTGTGTGTGTGTTGGCCGGCTACAAGCAAACGCTGTGCGCACCCTCAGTGTCTCAATATCAGCCTCGGCAATGAAAGAGCTGACATCGAGCTGGTGGTTAACTGTGTGGGCATACATCCACGGATTGCCATGACAGCAACAGAAAAAGTTCTCGCAGAAAGAGCGCAGGAGCCTCAAGACGGGAATTGAATAGTGCGAGTAGAGAGACGAAGTGAAACCTGATCATTTCCCTGAATTTACCAGAGTCGAGTCGTTTCCCATGTGGTTTGCTCACCCACAGGACATTCTAATGGCAAGGTGCGTGGCCGGCCACTGCGGCCGTGCCGATAGCGGCGGCCCTTGGCGCGCCGACTCCGCCGGGGCGCGGCGCTCCGAGGGCGGAAGCGGAAGCGCCCCGCAAGGCGGGGCTCGGGAGGAAGGCGACGTCTTCCATGGCGCTGGGGCGATGGGGCGATGGTTTCTCGGTCGTTTGGCCGAAAAGCGGCTGAGCACGGCCAAGCTCAAAAAGCAGGGGCTTTCCTTCTGACGTGGGAAGCGATTCCAACCGGCAACGCATTGCGTGTACTTGAATGCACTGCCAACTCGTTGGCTCTTCACACACAAAGGATATTTACAGTAATGTATCGTCATTGGTGCTCCATCCCCGTTTTCTCTCAAACACCACAAAGCTTTCAAGTTGTGCCCTCGACATGGAAAGGGTCCTGTCAGGGTTCCAACATCAAGGCTTCAGCTCCCCTCTTCAAAAATCCATTTGGTTGCCATCTCGATTTTACAACGCCTCACGCAGAGGTGGGTGTCTTCGCAAGTCTTTGCCTTTCCCAGTGGGCCAGTGTCCGTTGAAACGCCTTGAAGTGGAACACGGCGACATAGCAGCCGCAAAGCCTCGGCCCGAGGAACTGAGCAAAGGAACTGAGAGTCAGTATGACCATCAGGTTCAATATCTGGACGACTTGTAGCACTATTTACAGGTTCACCAAGCTTCCTTCCTTGCCTCTGTCGAACGATTGTTCAAACATTCTCCGAGAGAACAGCAGTTTACCCGCAGGTCACTGGCCAATTTCCCAGGTGCGAAAACAATCTAGGTAGCTATTGCGCCGCAATCAAATATCAAGACATATGGCTTCGACAAAAAGGCCCACGCCGACGAGAGTCAGCATGGGTATTCAGTTCGGCTCGGTATGCATGTTTGCTTGTGTCTGGCTGTGTGCTTATGTATGTCTATCGGTTTCAAAACCATGTGCACTGCTTGAGACCATTCTGCAATATGGCTGACCCTCTGGAATACTCCCCTTCGCGAAACAATGATGGGAATCCGAATATTTAGAGCCCTCTCATGAAGGAAACTACAGGTATTTGGAGCAATAAGGGACCGAGTACAGAAAGGGCAAAAGGCTTATGTAATGTGCATTCCCAGCACAACAAAGGAGTTTATGACAGCGTGCTTGGCTGCTTTTCTGCCACCATCGATGCGATGGCGCCGCAGACTTGGTATCAAGACTGTCGAGTGAGTGCGGAGAGTCGCGTCTCCTATGCTCCCTCTGTTCGTAAGGTTTGTTCGAGAGACCGGAGACCCGAGCCCCTCCCCGTATCCGCCAAGCCATCGAACTGGCCCCCCGGCGAGGCAGGGTCCTTTTCCACTCGAGCGTCCTGCGAAATGGCGAACGGAGTCCAGGAATGAGCTGGGATCTGACTGGACAAAGGCAGGCCAGAAACTCCCGCCCAGTGAACTTGATTGGGAAACCAACATGGAGAGGCACCAAGATCCTAGGGAAGAACTCGGCATGTCTCATGCCTCTGCCTATGCTCCAGGGACGAAGTTGGCGTCTTAACCCGTCGGCAAGACTAAGACCAGACTCTCGGGTAGAGCCCATCTTCGTCTCGCGAGCCCGTCCTCGAAGAGAGCAGAGAATTGCCATGCAGGCTGACCGCCTTGGCAAAACGCTTTTGCCCGGCTCTGTGCTTTGCTTTAAACCAGAAGCTTCTGTCCAATGGCCATCCGTTTCTTCTGCTTCAGTTTCCCGGCTCGCCCCTGAATCCTTCTGCTTTGGGCAAGCCGCTTGCGGCATCAGGCAACCCAAACTCGTCCTCATTGGCCCCTTGCTGGCGGGGGCAGGCCCTAGCTTCGCAGGTTTCCTCCCTAAAAGATATGATTTGCTCTTACACATGGCAAAAGGGCGATTGTCCACCGCATGGGGCACACAGTACACGCAGCAGAAAGAATTGTATCAACTCATACATGTGCGGCCTGACTTGAACACGGAAATCCGTCCCTCAATTTGCATTTGTCATGTTTTTGATGAGAGTGCTGGCATGCAGCTGTGCCATTTATTGCCCTCTGTCATGCTAGAATCTGATCGCATTTTCGCGCTTGGGCCCCAGCAAAATGGGTCCTTGCTCCTCAGATCCTGCACACTCCTGGCGCGTCCACAGAAGAGGCTCAGGATGCATCGCCCGCAACAAATTGATTGCAGCAACACATTGGATTCAAGATTCCACTCAGGCAACAGTTATTGAATACATCCGGAAACGAGATTTGGAAAGGCAACAATTTGGGTGTGGGTCAAAAATTGGTACCCACGTTGGAACCCTGGTAAATGGAAACGAGCACTAACACCTGCGGCCCATATCCTGTTGGTTGAATTTTGACCCATACCCATTTGTCCCAAGAGCTCTGTGCCGCAAGAGCTTTTGGGGCTAGAGTTGCCCTCAATGAGTCTCGTGAGAAAGAAAGATCCCTAGTCAAAGATCGATTCCCACGATTCCATGGAAGAGCCTTTAAATCCTGCAAATCGAGCCCTTCCAACAAGCTTTGAGATTGAGGATACTCCGCCGGAACACGGAGAAATGGCTTGATCTTTGGGATGTTGAAGCTATCTCAATCTGTATACTTGGCTGGCCAAGATATTGAGAAAAGGTGTTGTTGCCAAAGGTCCCAAATTTCTGCTTGCCACAAGCGAAAACAGTGTCCAACTGCTGCTAGGTCACAATGCGTGGGTGAGATGCCCAGCAAATATTGCTGTATGTCTGTATGTATGTATGTATGTATGTATGTGTGTATGTATGTATGTATGTATGTATGTATGTATGTATGTATGTATGTATGTATGTATGTATGTATGTATGTATGTATGTATGTGTATGTATGTATGTATGTATGTATGTATGTATGTATGTATGTATGTATGTATGTATGTATGTATGTATGCACGCATGCGTGTATGCATGTATGAATGCATGCACGTATGCATGCATGCATGTGTGTATGTATGTATGTATGTATGTATGTATGTATGTATGTATGTATGTATGTATGTATGTATGTATGTATGTACGCATGCACGTATGTATATATATATATATCTCTCTCTCTCTCGGTATGGTATCTTTAAGAGTTGAGCGCAGTTCGAACTGCACGTTGGAACCTCCCATCTTTGCCCAGGTGCGCTTACCATTTGGCTGGCATGAATACAGTGCTGAGCGGGATGGATACAGTGCTGAGCGGGTGAACTTGAGCGGGTGTGCTTGCCATTTGGCTGGCATGAATACAGTGCTGAGAGGGGCGCTCTTGAGCTGGCGTGCTTACTATTCCCAGGCATGGATACAGTGCTGAGCGGGTGCACTTGAGCGGGTGTGCTTACCATTTGGCTGGCATGAATACAGTACTAGAGGGTGCTCTTGAGCTGGCGTGCTTACTATTCCCAGGCATGGATACAGTGCTGAGCGGGTGCCCTTGAGCGGGTGTGCTTACCATTTGGCTGGCATGAATACAGTGCTGAGAGGGTGCTCTTGAGCTGATATGCTTACTATTACCAGGCATGGATACAGTGCTGAGCGGGCGCCCTTGAGCGGGTGTGCTTACCATTTGGCTGGCATGAATACAGTGCTGAGAAGGTGCTCTTGAGCTGGTACAGTGCTCAGCGGGTGCACTTTGAGCGGGTGTGCTTACCATTTGGCTGGCATGAATACAATGCTGAGCGGGCACTTGAGCGGGTGTGCTTACCATTTGGCTGGCATTAATACAGTGCCGAGCGGGCGCTCGTGAGCGGATGTGCTTACCATTTGCTTGGGAAACGAACGCAAGCATCCCCCCCCCACCCACCCACCCCGCCCACCCAGAAAGACGCAGCCTGTTTGCCTCGGGAAACGAACGCAAACATGCCCCCCCACCCCCCCAAGCAACTCTCAACGATACTATACCCATATATAGAAATAGATATATATATATATATATATATATGTATATATATATATATATATACATATATATATATATATATGTGTGTGTGTGTGTCTGTATGGTTCACAGCTTTGATCAGACATGTGCGACTCAATAAACGTATCGGCGTCGTTTCCGGCCAGACCCGCATTCCCGCCGAAGCCTGGACATTGCGCCTCAGATGTTGACTCAATTGGGCACTTCTGTGAATCAGCTTCGCTCTGCGGACGCCTGCTTCGCGCCCCGTTCCCAACCACGCAGTGGGAAATCTATGTTCACCAATTTGGAGAGTCCCAGATACAAATCGCAGACTGCTGCTGTGGGTCGTCCCTTTCAACTCATGACGGAACACCAACGAATTTGGGAAGCTGTCAATCTGTCGCTCTCTCTCTCTCTCTCTGCTTCGAGTTCGGTGAACGCGCCAACAAGACAAATTCGATGTCGCCACGCGTCTGGGGCCAACAGGAAAGAGGGCAACCAAATGGATGCCTTCTTTCCGGCGCAGTTATTATGTGAGTGCCGAAGACTTCCAAGAGTCGCGTGCGACCAAATATTCCGAAGCCCTCGTGAAACAAGAATCGGCAGCTGGCAAAAGGGTTGGGAGACGCGACATTGGAACCAAAACTGGAAGCTGTCCTGGGAATGTTGATCCCAAAAACACCTCCCGGACCCGTCCCCCCCCATCGATCCATCGTCGGCTTTCTCAGCTCCCGGCTCCCACGGCGAATGCGGAAAACCACCGGCCAAGCTGAAACCGGAAGGAAGAGTTGTGCGCAACTCCCGAGAGAGACACGCTGCAAAAAAATGCTCACAGAACTGAATGAGATCCTGACATCCGAAAAAAATCTGCAGACCTCCGAGGGCCAGATCCATCCAATCGAGACTCAAAAGCCCCCCAGTCAGCCGGCCTTGAGGCATCCCAAGCCCCAACACTGAGCCAAGGGCGAGTTCGGCGACTTCTGCCGGCGGACCCCGCGACTGGAAAACTGAAAGGAGGAACCAGGTTCGGGCCTTGCAACCTGTGTGACCCGCTCTTGGTCAAACCAGCTTCTTTGGGTTGTGCTTTGGTGCAAACCCAGGGTTTGTTTGCTGAAAGCAGTCTTCCCCGAAGACCATGCTCCTTACCTGCGTTCAGATTCCACGTTGTCTTCCTTTTCTTCGGATGTGACTGGACGGACATATGTAGACCAGAAAAAAGAAAAAGGGAAAAAATACAAAAGACAAAAAAGGAGGAAAAAAAGAATAGGAGAAGGAAGAAGAAAAAAAAGGAGGAGAAAAAAAAAGAACGGGGCTCAAGCGTTGGACACGTGGCAGGCGGTCGGCCATTGTTCGGCAGAAAGCTGCTGCAATCCAACGAGCAAGACCGGTGCCTTTTCTGGGCCCCCGTTTTCTGATCCCCCACTAAAAGTGGACGATTGTTTTTGGTGGGCTAAGTGGACATCCAACCACTAAACCCTACAAAAATAAAAAGCAAAGGGGATATCACGTGCAAGATTACTCGCCAGATCAAGCCACGCCTCAAGCACCTGTTAGTTGGCTCTTCTAGCGCTCTGCCGCCGATCTGCTCGAGAGGGCTACCTCTCCACCCAGTGAAAGTTCAGTAGAAGCATGCAAAAGCAGAGGGTCAGAATGGTATCCCCATTCCCGATCTACTTGCAGCACGCAATGAACGGAACTTCAAACACAAGCAGCAAAAGAAGCAGGCTGGCCGATTAAGCTAACCAATTTACTGAGGGCTAACCCGTGCCACATGCTGTTGACTGCCTGGCTACCTGCTGTCTCCTTCCTTTTGCCTCCGCGCGCGCGGAAGGAAACCTGCCGCAAAGCCCCTGAGCTTCAAAGTGCGGCTCAGAGACTCAGCCGGCGCTGAGATCGAGCGATCTCAGCGCTAAAGAAACTCCGCGGGCTTGGACCTCACTGTCCCACCTCGTCGATGGCGGCAAACTCCACCTGGCTCTGGTCTGGCCCCAGAGCTGAGTGGGATGCCGATGGACCGACAAACAGTGGCGATCTGCCTGGTCTTAACCCCTGGTTACAATGAAAAAGTACTAGGTGGCTCCCTCTGCTCGTCCCCAAACCAATCGACCAGCAACTAACCCTTTGCAATCCAGCAACACCAGGTGTATTCCAAGAACCACTAGCGCCGGTCCACGCTTTTCCTCTTTCAACTGGCTCCGAGTCACGAAGACGCGCCATCAAGGCTGAATTCACAAGAAAGATGCCAGGACCATGCCGGTCCCCAAACCGACAAACTTGACTACCCAACGTTCTTTGTCACTTACTCATATGGCTGTGGGTCAAAAATGGGTACCCAAAAAAAAATATTGCCCTGGTAAATGGAACCAAGGACTAAAACCTGTTGTCCACATCCTGGTGGTTCCATTTTGACCCACACACCCTCCCACCAGCTAGCATGGAAGTGCACAGACCCCTGTAGAAGACTACTTTCCTCTTGGAAAGGGCCTTCTTGCACAGACCCATGTTAGTTGGTGGAAGGGTACCCAGCTGTTCTTCGTCACTTGGCTGTGGGTCACAACCAATGGTACCATTTTGGTTGGTAGGTGAATTCACCACCCATTTTAGAACCTTTTTTAGTGGTTGGATTGAATCGGATGTTCACTGGGGCTACGTTTTGGATTTTGACCCACACCCATATCCTCCGCCCCATGGCTGAGCAGCTGCCTCCTGGTCCTCCTCGTCCCGCTGCCGCGCCCAGCGCTGCGCCTCCTCCCAGCCCGCCTGCGCCTTCGCCTCCTCGCCCGCAAGGGAAGAAAAAAACGAGACATCGACCTTCCCTACTTATCGCAAGCTTCAGGCAAAGGCGCTCCAGATCTTAGCGCCTTGAAAGGAGGCCGCGGCCATACTGTCTCCAACCTCGATCTGTTCGCCATGGGCTTTTCAAAATCCAAATTGCGTAGCCCCAGTGAACATCCGATTCAATCCAACCACTAAAAAAGGTTCAAAATGGGTGGTGAATTCACCCACCAACCAAAATGGGATCCCAAAACGGACAGCCAAATCGACATGGGCTGCGGGGCATAAAAGGGTGCCCTTCCTCCCACTATCAGAAGGCATCTGGGGGAAGGCACCTGAAAGATAAGCTTCCTCTTGGAGGACCCCCTGTGTCAGCTGCCACGTTAGTGGGAGGAAGAGCATCCAAAATGCAAAAAACAAAAAAAAAACTACCTGCGGTCCACATCCCGGTTTAATGTTCACCCAACCCAATTCCGAAAGCCCAATGCAAATCCCAACCCCCGGACTGGTTTCCGGTCGGTTCTAGGCTCCTCCTGCGGCAGCTTCGTACACACCTCACGGAGAAGAGTCGAGCCCCGGAAAGCTTTGGTTAAAAAGCTGGATGGGTTTGATTGGAAGGGACCCCCACAAAAAAGGTGGGGGCGGGGGGGGGGGGGGGGCTCTCCCTCGTCTACCCGCCAAATAATCAAAAGGGCGGATGTCCGCGGCATCTGGCGGGTCCCCAACATGAATGTTTCTGGGTTTCTAATGTGACGGCAACCAAACTTCTCACTCCAAAAGGACGATCCACCAAATGGACGAAAACCCTAAGACAAGGATATACCGATGTGGATTTCATCCGGGATTTCTCCGCTCTTTCAAGCCAACCGCCCAGGGAAGCAAACCCCTTGAGCTGGTCATACGCTTCAAGAATGGTTTCTGAAACTGCTTCAGGTTTGAAAATGCGCTTGTTTCACATGTTTCATCATGTTGGAACCTTTTGAAAGCCCGGCCCCACCTATTTTGACAGGGAAAAGTGTCCCAAAGCCTTTCAATCAGCCCTGGAGGATCTTGTTGCCCTTCAATCTTTCAGCCAAGCAGCGAAGATGTAGTACCCGCCCATGTCCGGCGTCTTGGCCAGATTGAAGGAGAGGTGCGGCATGCTCAGCAGGGGAAGCCGCCATGTCTCCGGATCTCCTGAGGTTTCAAGCTCACGTGTCCCAAAGCTGACAGCTCAAGCAATGTCTGGTTAAACATCCCCCGAGATTCAAGACGTCCCTTGTCCAGCCCACTGCCAGCCAATACCACTTTAAACTAAAGCACCCTCAAAGTTTTGCAAGGTGACCCCATGTTTCCAAAACATCTAGGTTTCACAAGCTAAGCTTGCTGGTGCTCAGAGTATTGGCAATGAGCAAGTCGGGACTCCCGAATAAAGGAATCTAACTCGGGGATGTAAAAATACTTCGATCTCCTTTCATTCCCTGCATCTCTCGCAGCGATTGCAAGCCAAAGACAAAAACTTATACACCTGCCCGTAAGCCCTGAGCTCCGGGAGCTGACAAAGGTCTGGGAGGATCAGATGGAAAAATTGGGCGGGCGGGGCTGGGGCCTTGGTCTCAACTTTAGACCTTTGGGATCACACCGCCCAAGCTCCCTGTTTGGTTTCCCCACATCCGGGGACTGTCCGGCGACTGGACAAAATATGGATTTGTATCGAAAGATTGGCTCTTGGCTAACGCATCGATTCGATGCACCGGCGAGCGACCTGTGCAATGCCTTACACCAGTAGCCCAAAGCCTAGATGTCCCTCACGGCAACTACTCTTTCTAGTGCTTCCCTGCAAAATCGGCATCCCGTCCTCGCCCATGCGTCACGAGGAGGTAGATACCCCCGACCTGCATTCAAGGCAACCCAAAGCCCTGTTGTGCTTGCCAACAGTTCACGCAAGCCAGAAATGAAGCGCAAACTACACGATTCCTCCATCTGCTGAGCTGTGTCTGCGTGCAACAAAACCAGCTTGCACCTGATCTGCGGTCAGCCCTAGCAGTTTTCTTCCTCGCTGGTCAAAAGACCCAACTGCATCCGTCTCCCAACCAGACATAGAACCGCAAGCTAGGCCCACCGCAAGCCCAGCTCGAGGGAAAGGAAAAACCGTAGCCAAACCAGCCCCGATCCAAACCCTCAGAAAGCGTTCGAAAAACAAAGCACCCTGCAAAACAACAGTTGGCTCACCTTTGGATTCCCTTTCAATCTCCGAAAGGGGTCCCATTCTGTGGGGTGACACCAAGGGTTGTGCCAAATAAAACCCTTGCAACCAGATTGGAGGTCGGGCCTGTTTTTTGGGGAAACAAAATGTTCTGTGACATCCATTTCAAACAAATGTCGCCGGCCAACCCTGGTCACCCTCCCTTGAAAAATTCGCCAACAAAGCCAAATAAGTTGAAAAACTCACCAACAAGTTACTTTGAAACAGCACATGTGGCACATCCCTTTCGCTCGTCTCCCTCCGGAACGACAAAAGCATCCGCATCCCACGCCTTGAGCACCCGCTGGATCTCGTAGAGCGCCTTGGCGGCGCAGCTGAAGGGCCCTTGCTGGATCAGCAGCGCGTCCAAGGTCCCCTGCGCGACCGCTCGCTCCGGGGCCGAGCTCGCGAGGCTCGTGCCAAAGAGGAGCTGGCTGCGGTCAAAACCGTTGTGGGATCCCAGTTTGGGTGCATTGGCTGAATTCACCACCCATTTAAGAACCTATTTTTGTGGGGATTGGGATGTTCACTAAAAATACGGGGTGTTTTTTTCCCCATGGCCAAGTGGGCTGTTAAGTTCGTCTCTGAGGTTGAGCGGGCCCCTAGTTTTAGGATGTTTTCCGGAGCGTTTTAGCGCTTCTAGCTGAAATCTACTTGGCCATCTGGTTTCTTGGGTGTTGAGCTAGTTGGCTTAGTGGTGGTGCAAAGTTGAAAATCTAGTGGCGTTTCAAGCGAACAGTTTGAACTGGAGTGCCCCTTTGCCTTGTGCCCACAAAACCAGCTCCCTACACTTGACCTTCGAATGGAGCATCTCGAAAAAAATACTGCCCTCTCGGCGCGCAGCAAGAAGGAAGCAAGTCGCGAAGCTGTGAAGGCAGAGCAACATCAGCAAGGGAGGCAGTGTTGGCAAACGAAGTACTTTCCGCAGGACTGTTCCCTTTGCATGTGCTTCTGAAGGAGACTTGGAGAATCTCTTGTTTTTAGTGGGGAACTGCATGTTAGTTACGAAGCCCTGCTGAGCTCAAAACGGAAGGCGGCAGCAACAACTCGGAAGTAAACTGCTTCATGCACCGACTCACAACTGGGCTGCCGGGATCTGTCAAGTTGATGACATGTTGAACCCAGCTTTGTCACAGCCACGGCCGCTGTATCACCTTGCCATTTCCCTACATTCGCTCCACCCACGTGTCTGAACTCGAATTCTGGCTCACCTAAATGGCCATGAATTTTAATAGGGAACCACCTCAAAAGTGATTGATGGACATGAATCCCCGTGTGCACCAAAGGGTCCCTTGTTAAAATTCATGGCCAAATAGCTGCTGCCTTCGCGCCGAGGTCCTGTTGCCGCCGCGGCTAAGAGGAAACCTGTCCAACAAGTGGACCCGTCCGTCTTGCGCCTTGTCCACGATCACATCCACTGACTCTGAATCCAAACCCATCTGCATGATGTCGTCCACCATCCTTGGGCTCTGCGGTCGCCTTGCTTTTGGGCTGGTGTTTGTTTTGGTTTCCTCGAACAAAAAACACATGGGACCCAGAACCGTGACAGTGGCTTCTTATGCTTCGTGCTGCCACAGGTATGGTCTCAACACTGGGGGAACGAAGTTTCCCCAGTTTCTAGCCATCTCGGAATGTGCGAAGCGCAGGTTTAGGTGGGGTGGCATCGACTGCATGCCATGTGCAACTACGAAAGGTGGCCGGACTTCGAGGCTCTGCAACACTTTGGCACTCGACTGACGAGTTGTTTGGTCTCTTGTCATTGGGGAAAAATCGCAAACTCCGGAGATTGGAAGTCATTTCAGGAACTCCTGGACTTGGTAAACAGATGACTCTCATAATACCCGCAGTCAGCGCCAATGACTTCCGTCCGGTCAAGAGTTTTGCAAGCTGTGAGCTGGTCAGCCGCACTTCTCATGGCAAGTGACCCAGTGAAGACAGCCAAGGGGCTGGTGTTTTGCTTGAGTTTACCCTTCCTCTTTAGGCTTGGTGCAAATGGAAAACCACGAATAACCGCCCCCAATGCCATGTCTCGGGCACGCATTGGGCACGCAAACACCCGCCCTTCTGCTCCCGTCACAAAAAAAAGGGGGCACCACACAAACAGGTATGATTGTTGACGGGGGAAAATGAACGGGACCCTTTGTCAATTTGAGGTGGCACGTTAATCGTGAAGCACCAGCAGGAAACCAACCATTTCAAGGGATCCCCAAATGCAAAACCCTCAGAATGGTTTCCGCTTCACCGGGGAGAAAAAAAAAGTGAACCACTGGAAAACAAGAATATATATATATATAAATAAATAAATAAATAAATAAAAAAAAAAAAAAAACAAAAAAAAAAAAAACTTGGGTCCCACCTTCTTGGTTTGGTTTGGGGAGGCCTGAGGTTTCCGGAAGAAGAAGAAAAAAAAACAGCAACAACAAAAAACGCCGCCCAGCCGCCACCGTGCGGAAGGCATCTCCTCCTTGGTGACCCGCTGCATCTCCTCCACCGCGTGCCTCGGAAGCTCGGACTCTCGGGACGGGCGAGGTGCTCGGAAGGCTATGGCAGGTCTCCCAAATGAAGAGCTTTACCCATGGAAGGCTGCTTCTTAAAGGCTCTAGGCATAAATATATGTAAATATATATATATATATATGATGGTAACCCCCCAACCCCCCCCCCGGCCGCCCAAAAAAATGGCTTTACGGTATTTACAGTACTGTGGGCCCCTTTTCAGGCACCACATTTGAGCATTTAAGTGTGCCCGAACTGCACATTTGACTGCGACCGCGTCTGCCTAGAAAAGCTCACCGCTTTAAAGCACCCTAAGATTAAAGATTCTAGATTCCCAAGACTCATCTTGAATCTCGAATCCGGTATGGGCACCCAAAACTCTTTAAAGCGCTTTCATCCAGGTAGCTCTTGAATTCAGGATTCAATAACAAGAGTCCTGGGAATCTTGAATCTTGAATCTTAGATCCAAAAGCGCTTTAAAGCGGGTTAGAGCGTCTGCTTGCAGTCATTCCTGTTGGGTGTCCACCTGTTATCCTGTTGGACCTGTGCACGCTAAATACAGTTGATAGTTCTGCATTTGGACATGGGAGAACTAGTAATTTAAGCAATGACTCCAAGAAATCCATTGAAAAAGACACTGCAAATACCAGGCATTTCCACAGCACAGATTTTGTTCAGGGAAACTAGCTGTTTGCTTTTTTTGTATCAAACAGCTTGGAATTGGTCAAAGCATGCAAGATGTGAGCAGATGTTTGGGTACTGGCCAAACTTTGTGAGCTGACAGACGAGGGGGGGATGATTTCCAGTTGAGGCGGGATCAGAGATGGGAAGATGCGTAGCCAATGATTTGGTAACGTGACCAGACGAAGAGGGTGCACACATCAGCTGAGATGAGAAATCGAAGATGCGCAGGTGAAGCAGAAGACAAAGATGTTTTACAGTCAATTGAGTGAGGATAACATGGTAATGAAGACTATGAATCTCTGAATACATTGCAACATTAAACATATGAGAGAACATCACGATTTCTATTTGAGCACACATGTGTCATTATGGACTGCGTCTTTTAAATGTCAGAAGCTGTGCATGAAAGATTATGGTTTAGACCCTGTGTATTGTTTCAATTTTATCTAACTTCGCTTTTACGCGTTGCCTAACTTTGCGATGCTATGTTCAATTTAGCTTGTGTTGAAATAGACTTAGTTTATGGCAAGCATATGTATGCAATGATTCAAAAAGGATCAAGAGAAGGAATGACACAAACAACCTGCAAGAAGGTAGAAGCAAATATTGTTCAAAGTCCTAATGAATCATCTGCGTAAGCCTGCCAACATCGTGAAACGAGCCCTCTTCTGGCGATATCTGCCTAAAATCACCTAACTGCCCTTATATGAGCAGCAGGTGCGATTGAGGGGTATATGCGTATATAGTATACATATATATATATATATGCCCTCAAAATTACCCAAAGGTGGTTGAAGGGGGTTTCCACCGGCTCCCACAGGCAAGTAATTTTGAGAACCCCTCAAGATGGTGTTTGCTTTGCGGGACCTAGGCCCTTGCTTGCTTCTTTGGTTCGCCGAAAGGAGTAAACCCGCTGCTTGGAAGCGAACAACACACAAGCAGACGCGTAATTTTTAGAGTCGCACACAACTCCGCCACAGAAGTTGACCCCTCAGTTCGCTACAGCTACCCAGTCAGTGGAGCCTACGAAATTGGATAGGGTGTTTTGGATGTCCACGAGCTGTCGAAGGGAATTCGCAAGCAAGCTGCGGGGAGATGTCGGTGCTCAGGAGATTGGTGTAGCCATCCGCATAGATGTCCGGACTCAGGCGGTCCAGACCACAGCCTGAAGTCCGGCCGCAGTCATATCTCATATCCGGTGCCCCAACCGCCACCCTTCTTGGGGCCTGCCTCAGTCAATGACTCTTCATCCATCATTGTCATCCTTTCACTGCCTTGGTTGCCTTCTTGGAGTTAGTTAAAAGACAAACCAAAGGAGAGCACTGCTTTCGTTGGACTTTCGGATTTCGCCGCAAGAGACAAAAACCCACCGGGTGGGCCTATGTTGAGGATCAGCTTGCTGCGGTCGTTGGCGGTGACCGCGTGCAAGGTCTCCTGAACGTCGAAGCGAATGGCCGAATAGGTGCTGTTGGTGGACAAAGTGACGAAGCCCGTTTGTCCCTAAAACTTGGGGTTTCATCCATCCCAAATGCCAGCAGCTTGTCCATCCACAGTACGTTTGGTATTCTTTGACGCAGGGGTTCATGTCCATCAATCGTTCTGAGTATTCGCAATCAAAATTGGCTATCTCAAAGCAGGACACCCAAAAATAGACACATCCAAATCTGCGCCCGAAAACTTGGGGCATCTGTTCTTCTTGTCGGCTGCGTGCCTGCTGCCTGGTGCGATGGACGTGCTCTGAAAAGAAAACGTGGTAATCACTCAGGGTTGCTCATAGGGCAGAAGCAAGCAAGTTTTTGAATGCCCATTGCAGGTAAACCCCACTCCGACTCAACCACAGAACCATGTGAAGCTAGTATTCATGAGAGGGTGTCCTTACCTTACTTGCAACAAGGCTCCCTACATCTCCATTTCAAACATCACCCACCAAAAGGAAACTCAGTTGAAACTTTCAGAAATGCCGATCTTTGAAAGCAGCGCCAAAGGAAACCTGGGGAACCCATGTGCAGTATGTAGGTCACCTTAGGGCACCTCTGTCACTCTCCCGCCTGCAGTGGGCCCTCGTAGGGGCACAGCCAACCCTGGCCGCGGTCGTCGATCTTGTCCTGCCGTGCACCTGCCGTGACTCGGATCGGTTTTACTTTTCAGTTTCCTTTTCAACCCATCAAAAACAAGTACCCTTAAAGAAAAAGACAGTCCCAAATCCCAAATGGGTTCTAGGATGCTACACGCATGATGGTCCTTTCATGCATGCTGGAACCTGCTCCCCTTGGAGCTGATGGGGGGAGAGAGAAAAGCGGAAAGTTGCAGGGTGGGTGGATCCCTGGGTGCAGCTGGTGTTGCATTGCCAGCCAAAAATAAAACGCTTGACAAATGGCTGTGGGTCGAAGTTCAATAGCCAGGGTTACGCGCTGTTGGTTCCATTTACAAAGGCAGAATTTTGGTACATTGTTTGAGTCACAGCACATGAATCATGATAAAGGTGAGAAGGAACAAGGATCAAGTCCGACTTGCAGATTCAGCGGCCGTCTCCAAGTGAGACAACAAGCATCTCCCTGTGCAAGAGTTTTGGAATAGAAAATTGAGGGATCCCCCATTGCTGCTAGGTTTAGAGGCAAAACTAAGGAAAACACCAACTTACTGGGCTTTGCAATTTCAGGAAGTGCCAAGTACCAAAGAATTGGTCATCCAAATCACTCGCCAGCTCCAGCTCCTGCTTCTGCCTACGTGACTTCAAGCGTGGAAATCCGAAACCCACAGCACGACGAAGCTTGCAAACCAACCGGGACCCAAAAAAAATCGAAGCCGAACTCCTGCCTTTGTCGCCCGTTTTGTAGCGCTGCTCCCAATACTCCTCGTGGACCACAAGTTCCCATAGCACAAAACGTGGGCTACCAACAGTCGATGTTCAGCTCAATTCGAAATTTGGGAAGCCCTCCCCATTTCCTGGTGGCTGGGTCTGCCAAATGTCACCCCGCGGTGCAGTGGTCGATGGCAAAAACTGGCCCCTCGTGACTGCCGCGTTGGGAAACGATCAGCAGCCTATCTGCGACAACAAATGCCCAGGTGACAAACAGACACGCAAGGCGCACCCTGGGACCCTTACCCTTTCTCAGGCTCCTCATCCTGGTACGTCAAGCCCCTCTCCTTCTCGCCAGAAAATCTTGCCATGCGCCCCAACCTGCGCAGCCCGCCCAGCTCCGAAGCTCTGAACGAACTGCTTCCCGAAAAGATATCTGGAACCGGCAAATGGCTGGCTGGCCCCTTTTGGGTTTGCCAGACAGAACGCGCGTCACCGACTTTCCCCCTTAAAATACACCCATGGATAGGATGTGAGCTATGGCTGTTATCAAGAAATGACGGCTCACCCACTACTCCAAACACAAGACATCCTTCCCAGCAGTCGCATTGCTTGCTCTCAGGGCAACCCTGCCACGCCTCACAAACGCTGGTCCCAGCAACACAGCCAGGAGGCCTGGCCCAAAAGAGCGCGAGGCAAAAACTGCGCATGAAACTTGGTTGCTGTTGACCCCCCTGCAAAAAGTGAACAACTTTTTTGGGGGTTAGTGCAAAACACCTTTATTTCCCAAAAAGATACAGTCTAAAGATCCAACTCAATAGCAGTCAAGGAACTTTCTCCCCAAATTTTCGCGGGAAAGGATGGCTCAAAAAGCCCGAGACTTGACTAGTCGCAACAGGTGAATTGAACCCTTGGCTTCTTGGTTTACCTTGCTTTTAATAACGGGTTTTGCAGTTTTGCCAACCATCTGCAGGCTGCATGCTTGCCCAGGATAACAGCATCCCCCACCCTTGTCCCAACCCACCGCAGACTCGCACGAAGAAACCGTGACATTCGCCCTGCCTCGCACAACTCGATGGCGTGCCCACCCCATTGCTGGGCTAAGGCAGGCCAAAGCTGCGGGTCGTGGCCAGTTTTTTTCACAAAAACATGCTGAGAGGATTCAGTCCTGTGTGCTGATTTCTGCTGCAAGACTTGAGGAGTTGCCTAAGATGAGCGACTGGAACAGAAATCCGCCGAGATACTTCCAGACTGGCCCGCCATCATGTCCCCGGCCGGATTAGAATCATGCCCTTGAGGCAATGTCTTCGGTGACGAATCGCGTCGCCCTGGAAAAAAATGCTGGCGAGAAGGCAACTCACGGCTCTGAGAAGTGCAGCAAATTGGAAATGGCTGTGGCATAAAATTCGGTCCAAGCCACATGTCAACCAGGTCACTTTGCTCACCTGCTTTTCCATGATCCGCTGGACAAGTGCAATGCGATTGGCAAAAAGCTTTGTCCAATTGGCAAATCGTTCAAAAGAATCACAGGCGTGGTGCAAAAACCCAGCGACCACTCTGTCAGCCGATGGCGCCTTTGCTGGATTTTTCCCCAACGGCTAAAAGCTTTGGGGTCTCAGCCCAGAGAGGCTCCGGGGTGGTCCGGGGCGGCCCTGAGGTAAGGTTTACAAGGGTTCCGCAGGGTTCCACCAGGGTTCCACCAGCGTTCCAGCAGGGTTCCACCAGGTTCTGCGAGGGTTGCGGGGTGGTGCGGGGTGGTTTGAGGCAGGGTTCAACTAGGTTCTGCAAGGCGGGGTGTTCCATGAGGGTTCCACCAAGGTTCTACCAGCGTTCCACCAGGGCTCCAGGTTCTGTAAGGTAAGGTTGGGTTCTAGCGAGGTTCTGCAAGGGCTGCGGGGTGCCCGCTCCCAGCACACAACTCATCAGTGGCAGTTTGCAGCTGCCTGCTAGCGTGTTTTGGAGTCTTGTGTTTGGTTTGCTTGCCTGACACTCACTGCATGGATGGCATGTGGGCAACAGGAAGCGCTTGCCTTCGCTTCGCTCGCCTCGCGCCTTCTTCCACCTTCCTGGCTAATCTGTGGATGCTCTGGCGTGTTGGAATTTAGGGCGCAACCCCTAAACCCCGGATGGTCGTGACCTGTACCTGGCCTACGTCTACTATTCGGGTCTCCCGATGGCCTTAATTCAGGAATTTGTTTGATGGATGCTGCTTCCTCGAAGTTTTTTGGCGTTTGTTTGGTTTTCCTTTTTGTCGACCGGTGATTACGCTGCAGGCGACGCGGGGAAAAACAAACAAACAAGCTCCAAGCTTAGAAGCCCACCCAACCTCCTGTTTTGCGCCATTGCCTAGAGAATCTAGATACAGCGTAGGCGCCGCCAGTTGATGCCCAGCACTCGGCCCCGCTCGTTTTCTTTGTTCAGGTGCTCCTCGCGCACTACGCAGGACCGCTGTCCTCGTTTGTGCCTCGGCCTTACCGCGGCTCGGCCACCACACAACAAAACACAGGAACCGCAGCGCGTCCCGTGTTTTTGCTTATGGCCTCGTATGCAATAACGAACCACGTGTTCTTTTTTGGCAGCCGCGCTTAGTAGCCGGCGGCGCACCCCTTTCCACTCCACAAGGCCCAGCCAAGCCGAGCAAGCCAGGTAAGCCAGCACACGGGTCCCAGGGCCGGCCAACCAGCAAGCAAGGCAAGGCACCTGCGTGGAGCCTTCGAAGGTCTCCGGACCTCCACAGACCGCAGTCCACAGAGGAAGTTAACCAAAAAAAGGAGTGGTCAACTAAGTCACTTTTTCAGTGACCCAGCTCGGTCACGCCCGCAAACGGCTAGTGACCTTACTGTGGCCAGACTGTACATTGAGCCCACCATCAAAATGATGGACCGAGCGGTGACCTTTCCCACCCTTAGAGAGGGAGTACCGTTGACCCAGTCGTCAGCGACCCCATGCATCCCAGACCTCACACAGTCAGGGAGCGCCGATCTGGGGGGTAACCCCGCACGACCACTGCACAAGTCCGAAGACAATCACAGCATGAAAGGTGGGGCTACCACGGCAGCAAGTGAATTCCTGGTTCGCTGCCTTCAATTTAACGTGCCTCACGGCCCGCCGCCCCCCGTTACCGAGACCGCAACTTCCTCCGCCCGGGCCATCGGCAGGCAAGTGCGAGTTGGCAACGGCCTGGTAAAGATGACCATAGGGATAGAACAGCAAACCGGGGGATAGCACCAAGCCGGGAGAGACCACTGGAGAGTTGAAGGTGGCCGCACCTGCGCCGCCGTAACCGGCCGCTTACAAGCGTTGCAAAAACGCGTGTAGTCGGTAGCTGGCACCGATGCTGCCACTTGGTAAACAGCTTGCGAGTGGAGAATTAGGGAGTTGCCCAGCCCGGGTAGTGACTGAATTGATTTCTTTGGCGCTGAAATTTTGCGGTCACTGATATCACCGCCCTGTGCCACGGCAGCGGCAACGCGTAAAGCGCTTGTTTTCCTTCTGGAACTACACAAGACCGTCCACACCCGAGTTTAGAACTCTTAAACGGGGTGGCTGCTTGCCAGGAGCCTGGTTTTTAAAGAAAACCCATTTTTGGGTACCTAAAATGGGGCCCGCTTTTCAAAACAGCCGTCTTGGCCTTTGCGCGGCATTCTTCCAATGGAACAGGCAGGAACAATGGAGGCGGCCAAAGCAAAACGAACACTGAGACCCACACAGCCACGGCAGCAGAAGTGACCCAGCTGGTTTCATTCATTCGTCGCACTTCAAACCGGGCCAGAAAGCTAACTGGCAGAAATTGGCTTTCAACAAAGCAATGGGTTTCATCCTCTGCTGGCGCATGTAACCAAGGGCGCCGCGCTGTCCACACAGCCTGGCAAACGTACAGCGTCCGTGCCCGAAAACACGCACAGCAGCAGCAGAACGTGTAGCTGGCCAACGAACAAGCACATGCAAGCAGGCTTCGACTTTGGCTGCAAGCGCTGCTTTGCTCTGGAGATTTCCAACCAAAAACGGCGAACCTGGAAAGCTGGCAGAAAAACGAACACAACTTTCCGTCACACCCGCCTGGGCAACGTCTTCACTTACTTGCGGGCTTGGCACGGGGGTCGTCTACCATTTTGGAATGCTAGGCCAGCGCCCACTGCGAAGGCCCCAAACAACAAACCCCATAAACTGGCAAATCCAGAGCTCCTTAACGCGGGCCGGCTCTTGACCAGAATTGGAGCAACCCGTCCTGACAATTCTTTGCTTGTGAGGTTGCTCCTCGGCTTCTGACACTTGTCCGTCCAGGAAACGACGTTGTTAAGGCATGTTGCACTGCTCCTATCTTGAACCCAAACCAGACCACCCAAAAGAACATCTCAAATCCGAAGCGGCCGCAGTTCTTTTAACCGGGATTGCTGAAAGTAGCACTGCTTCCAGGGCACGGATGCGCCTGGAGCAGGAGGTGCGTTGACCCCCCGTGAAACTTAAAGGCAAGACAACGCGCGTCCTTGCAGGTGCGTGCAGTGCGCGCAACCCCGCTGGGCCTGCTTCCACCTCGTCCAGCCGGGCCTGGGTTGGGCACAGGATTGCCCTCGTCAATCCTGCGCTGGGCACCCCAGGATTGTCACGTCTCTCTGAAAATCTCGGTGCCGTCGCTCCACCGGGTGGTCCGTCAAATTCTTCGACTTCGTTCCTGCAAAGTCGTCCGAGGCGAAGCCCAGCCTCAGGTCCCCGTTCATGTCCGGGCGTTTGTACTGCTTGGCCTCCACGGAGTCGAAGAGCTGCTTGAGCTCTGCCACGTCGGCCTCGGCAATCTCCGTCTTCACCCGGCTGTCCGACAAGTCCGTGAAGCTCGTGTTGCAGACCACGTTGCCCGTGTTGCCCGCGATCACGAGGCAGCCGGGGTTCCTCTGGTTCGTGGTCAAGAAGCAGGACCTCCACCCGGTCATTGGCAGTGGTTATGCCAGCTATACCCCTCTGCGTCCATGGATGTGTTCCCTTTATTCTGACCTTCACACGCCTCTGGGCACCAACTACAGCATCGCTCACGGCGATTGGCCGGCATTGATACAGCATCTCGCAGCCGACCTACGTGTTACCTCATCTCCACGAGGTACAGCCATTTCCAAGGGGGCTAAGCTTCTTTCAGTGCGACACAGGCAGATCTCTTCCCTTGCTATCCCTGAAATGGGTGCCCTGGCAGTTCCGCCTTTCATCACGACAGTACCAGGAACGCATGGAAGCAAAGTCATCCCGAGCTGTACGGTTGGCCCGATTCAGCCATCGCCCAAAGAGTCGCGTACGCTTCAGCCCTGCAGGCCTTGCACTATCAGGCAGAGGCATCCAGCATTGATGCGCCCTGGCGCCCGGAACATCTGGCAGCTGCTGCCAGCAGCGTGTAGCCAAGCCTTACTGCATCCCAACAGGCATTGCGACCCGACATCGCCCTGGCAACCAGAATATCTGGCTGCATCAGACAGCAGAAAAAGAGCAGTCCCTGAGCAACAGGATGCTCATAAACAAGATCATGCGACGATCGCCCTGCTAGGTACAACCCCACTCTGAAGGGGGGGTGAGGAGGCCGGCGGCCCAGCTGGCTCGCTTATACCGGGGTTGCCTGAAACACTGAAGGGGGGGTCAACGCACCTCCTGCTCCAGGCGCATCCGTGCCCTGGAAGCAGTGCTACTTTCAGCAATCCCGGTTAAAAGAACTGCGGCCGCTTCGGACTTGCTTTGTTCTTTTGGGTGGTCTGGTTTGGGTTCAAGATAGGAGCAGTGCAACATGCCTTAACGCTTAGGGTTTTCTTTTCCCTTGTGTTTAGGGCTTGTTGTGAATCTACTTCCGCGGTGGCCGTTTTGCTCCTTGACCCAATTTTGATCTGTTTCATTTGAAACCCACCCACCCACCCTGCACTGCCTTTTTTACAAGGCGCTTAGGGTTTCTTTTCCCTTGTGTTTAGGGCATGTTGTGAATCGAACTACGCGTTGGCCGTTTTGCTCCTAGCCTTGACCCAAACCTGCGGCTTCATTGAAACGCAAACGCCGCCATGGACGCCTTGCTGTGCTTTGGAATGTGTCTCGCCATTTACACAGCTCTTGTGTCCGGCCTTACTTGCCTTGCCATTGGGTGTAGTCATGCATTCTTGAGTCCGCTCTTGAATC